CACTACTATACGCCCAAAATGTAACTGGTGTCATACACAGTATATGTTTATATCGTGATGACAGGTTAAACAGACTTTTCAATAGTGTCTTGATCAGTATATGGCTATCATCCAAGTAAACTTGTCATCAGTAATGTGGAAAAAAAAGAAAGGAGTATCTAAGATATCTTCCTGGAAAATTCTTTATCAGACAGTCTGCAGGCTGGTCAGTGACTGCACAATCACACAAGATGTAAACCTCCCAGATTGGACAGTTGGGGTGAACATTGAACATACATCAGATCAGTATTCAGTTACATAAAATGATCAAAGTGTTGCTGTATGATTGTAACCTCTTAAGGGCATCATTTAACAATGTTAAATCTGAGATGCACGGCCCTACCTGTTATCAGTGTCTGTGGTATGGTGTTATACTGAAGCCCTAAAAAAATTGTGCTTCAAAATGATCAAGAAGTGCCTCAAAAAAGTAAAAACCTTTGAGTGATCAGTTTTTGCCATACTTGTTTTCCCCAATAAACTGTAGTGTTATGAAAACCGTTTGGCAAATGCAAAATTTGATTTCGATTTTCAGTCATAAATATCATGATAATCAGACAGGCGATCGGCTTGTAAAAGTCATGGGGTTCCTGACTGACCTGAAGGTTTATAATTATCATTGCAGCGTGAGCTAAATCAAGGATTTTTTTTAAAGGATCAAAGACAAAGTTACCGGATCCCTTTAAGGCAGATTTTTGTTTCCTGATAGTTGCTTCCCTATGTTTTATTGGTCAGATTGGTTTTATTGGTCAGATTGATTTTATGGGTCTGCAAGATTTAAAATCAAAAGTCTAGACTCTTATGACACATCCTTGATTTCTCTTTATTGTTTTCCAGAAATATCTTTACTCTGAAGTTTTGTCACCATGTGCACCAATTTGTAAACCTGGGAGATTTAAGACAATACTTGAGAGGGCAGGCTTGTATCAGTTTGTAACAGAGGAAGTAGAAAAGAAAGAACGAGTCAAAATTGAAATTATTGTGACAGCCAGGTCATTAGAGATTATTCAATATCAAGAGTGCATAAAATACTTATAGTTTCAGTAATTATTCAATATTAAAAAATGAGGCATAACAAACAAATTACTTATTGTAAATTTATCAGCTGTTTCTTCTTTAACAGACATATGAGAGGTTTTGCGAAGAAATCTGAGGTTTATCACATCTCTTACGTATTTTCCTTGGTCGGGTGAGGCCATTGAACCAATTGGCAATTTCCAACATTACATAACCCCTCCAAACTTGATGCTAAATGTGTAATGTTCATTCCCCTCCCACCTTCATTTCTTGATCTGTTTTTATCCATTGAAGGTGAGGAAATTACCCAAAATTACCTCAAATGGCATGGAGTGACCGCTCATTTAGTCTGGACAGTAGAGATTAAGGAAATATCCTCAAGTGGTTCTTCTCTGATTGATCTGTGGTAAACCCCTGACGTAGGAAGGTGTCCTTCTGTCCTTTCCTGTATGCCTGCCTGGCAGGGAAGGAGGCAGGGAAGCTGGGGTTACTCAATGAGTCCTTGCTGGTAGAGGGGTTTGTGAGATGTCAGTTAGATGCCTTCACCCACCCATCCCATCCAATCCAAACTGTATGCCAACCATAAGATGGCGAGTCCATATCCACATCCACTCCTGGATCTTTTTGTCAATTAAAGGTCTTGAAATTATTTTAAATTGATTGAAGAGATTAATGAAATGTTGAGAGGGGTTCTTCTTTGAATGACCTCTAATGAACCCTTGACTTACGTAGGTGTCCTCTGGTCCTTTCCTGTATATCAGCCCGGCTGCCAGGGGAAGGCCAGGGGAAGGAGGCAGAGAAGGTTGGGTAACCCTGTGGTTCTTGCCAATAGTTGGTGCGGAGTGGACGCCTGAAGGGTATCAGAAAGAGCTACAGTTTTAGTTACAAGCACCAAAAAGCTATCTTGACATTTTTCTCATTTCTATGTTATGCACGAACTTAAAAAAATTAATCAGGTCTGCATCATTCATAGAAGAACAAAATTTTGTGAAAAACATTTTGCTATTAATTTATCCATATGATTCTATTCATCCTGTTCGATTGTACATTCTTTTCTTTTTACATGCATACTTTTCCCCATTATATTTACATGTATATCATGTCTATCTTTTCAATCTTACAAGACTCGGTCTATTCATAAAATACCTCGTAACTTAAAGTTAAACAACCGGTAAAACAATAGGCAAGATATACAATTTCCCCAAAGTACTTTATTTTAAAGAGCTACTGTTGTTAATATATAGTTTATCACACTACTGGCTGTACTATATAGCTTTGAAATTCTTAGTTTTTGTTTTGTTACGTTTTTGCTTGTTTATTCATTAAAAAATCTTCCTTGCTATTTGATGTAACTTTTGGTACCTTGAACAATAACTTCTCCTAATTCATTTGTCTGGGTCATGGTAATTGGTTTTCAGCTGCTTTTCATTTTTAGGACTTTAATGACGTATACAATTTGAACATCAAGCACGCACAGACCAACGATACTCTCTTGTCATGGCTTCCCTTTCTCTTTCTCTCTCTCTCTCTCTCTCTCTCTCTCTCTCTCTCTCTCTCTCTCTCTCCATCTCTCTCTCTCTCTCTCTCTCTCTCTCTCTCTCTCTCTCTCTCTCAATCTCTATCGCTCTCTCTCTCTGTTTCAACTTTTTTTCCTCCAATGTGGGGGATATTTTCTTGTCTCTCATCTCTCTTATTCTGAAGTTTCAATATTTTCCCAGCTTCTCAAGGTTTGTGGGAGAAATAGAAAAATCAACATATTTTATGTGTATAACTTGAAAATTGCTTTTATATGTGGACCTTTCAACATCCATTTAGTAGATCGTAATTTTCAGACTCACTCTGGTTTCTATGGCCCATTAAAAATGCTTTTATAACTTCAGACCATGTCACAGTCAGATTCCTACAAAAGTGTAAATCTAACAATATGTAGAACTTGAAAAACTTTTATGACATCTTCCATTAAAACATTTTTGTTCATGCACTTGTACCAAAACGTGGTTGCGTATCAATCAGTTAACATTCCAGCATCTGTTGCTCATAAAAAATATTTATATTTTGTTGAATGACTGGACACTCAGGGTTTTATGAGCCATGCAGTAGCTTGAATGCCTGCCAGTGAAACACCCAATTTACAAGGCTATTGATTCAGTGGACACTAGATGGCGCTGTTTACTTACCAGGTCTTAACTTTGAGCCAATCATGCAGGAGCACTAAGAAATGTGTATCAAAATATAGAACTATGTTGTAGATTGAATAAATTCTAGCAATTTTCTTTTCTTTTTGAAATATTCATGACAAACCTCATATAATATTTTATTTTTGTGAACCATACTAAATCTTTAAATTGCAAATTACTTGTTTGGGCAAAAATCAAACATGTCAACATTTTATTATTTTTTAAAACATTTCTAAAAGCCATTTTTTTCACTTTGTCGTTGATATAATGAACCTTTCCAGTTTCATTTGTAGTTGTTCATTATCAACCTTATCTGTAACATGAAATGAACTTATGTTTGAATTCAGTGTTATATTCCATTTGTGTGTGATATGATATCATGTAATGAATCTGATCAGTGCTTTGATTTTTCTTTTCAAACAAAAGAGGGCAGCAGACCATGAATTGGAAAGGTGTTGTTGAATTATGAGCCAGAGCAGGACTAGATATCGACTAACAAATTATAATATTAGGCACTGACCCTATTTCTCACTCTCTCCCTCGTTATTGCATTTTGATTCCACATTCTTAACAAGATAAAGTTTTGTTAGACTATTAATAAGGGGTACATTTATTTGTTAATGTCTTAGCCAGTTAAATTAGTGAGGAATTCTGAATCTTTAGACAATAGAATCTCAGAGACGAATTTTATTTGTTGTTTTTGGATAAGTAGATATTTTGTTCTAATGGTGACACTAAAGTTTCACACTGATTCAGTTAATCTTGTGGTCATGTGAATACTCAAATGTGCCCTCTATTGATAACATCCCTACAGGGATGATGGTGAGCTTTGCTTCGCACCAGACCCATTGGTTATAAAAAATATTTTTTTAAAATAACTAATGTACCTGAGTGCGAGTCATTTTGTTTAATTAAATTAAGCAGCATTGGGCTGTTTATTGAATAATGTCTTTTGAGAGCTTTACACTTTTCTTTTTCCTCTTCTTTCTTCCATCCTGTTCCATGTTATACATTGCTCTCCTTTATGCTCTGTTCTTATATTCCCTGTCCTTATATGTGAATTAACTTTCTTACTATAGTACTATGTTTTTCTTTAATACTACATTCTTAATGTTTCTTTTGCTAATCTTCTTTTGTTTTGTTATTCTCGTCATGTCCTATTTGTTGTCTCTTATGTTTAAAACAGTATTATTGTTGCTTGTATCACAACATTCTCTGTTTCCATTCCACATATTTTGTATTCTCTCTGTTTATATTTGTTATACATTTGTATTTCTGTTTATGTACTTACTGTATATCCCTCCCCTCTCTCTCTGTTTCTCCTCTCCCCCTCCCCCCCCCCCCCCCCTCTCCCTCCCCCTCTCTCTCTCTCTCTCTCTCTCTCTCTCTCTCTCTCTCCAAACTCCTTCTCTATACCCTTCACTTTTTTTCCACTCTCTCCCCACTAATCTCTCTCTCTATTTCCCCCACTATCTCCCTCTTTCTCTCGCTTCATTCCCTTGTACATATCCATCTCCCCTCTCTCTGTCTCTCTGTCTCTCTCTCTTTCTCTCCAACTCTTTCTCTTTTGCTTTCTCTTTCTTTCTCACTATTCTCTTCCCCCTTTCTCTCTCTCTCTCTCTCTCTCTCTCTCTCTCTCTCTCTCTCTCTCTTTACATCTTTCTTTATGATTCTTAAATTTACTTTGTTGTTCAGAATTTATAATACTGCTTAGCATTGTGCATTAAATACACCATTTTTAATTATCAGTCTATGAAATGAAAAAAATTAAAGAACCAAGTAGATGTTTATTCAACCATTTATTTACAAAATATATAAACACTGTGCAAAAATGTGCACTTTCCTATTTACATTGTATACATCTGTACAGCAGTCAGATAAAGAAAATAATATTTAGTACATATTTACACATTTCCATTTGCAAAACAAGCAAAAATAGTGCAGAAGAAATAGCCAGGAAATGTTAATGATGGTCATTTTTGTTCTTAGAAATATAGAACTTTTCTCTTCTAGTCCTGCCTTTAGTATATCTGAATACATTCTTTATGAAAAAGGGCAAACACATTGTTTTTACTTATTTGAATCTTATTTGATTAAACACATATCATTTACACTACATAATTATGGTTACCTTTTTAAGAGGAACAAAAAATCAATATGAAGTTGTTTGCTTTTTCGTTTCCATTCATGAACAATACATTTTGAAGTCTGATGCATCGATTAATACACTTGGATAAGTTAACATTAACACGTCCCTTGGAGATGACTTCAAGCTGTCGGTCCCCTGGTTGCTTAGTTACAAGCATACACATGCTTTCTTAGCTATCAGGTGAAACAAACACACCAACAGACCAAAACAAATATAATCTTAGAAGAAACATGATTATCAATATTGTAGTGTTGTTTAATGTGTTTTGCATTTTCTGCTATTGCCCATAAAACATTCAATTAAATTTTCAGTACACTAAAAGGTAGATTTTTTTCAACGTTTAATTTTCTTTAAAAGATGACAGGAGTGAACTACACAACTTTGAATTTGTCATAAATGAAAAGTTATTAATGACTTCAATAAGGTGCTATTGATCCATTGTCTAGATCAAATGGAAGAATAGCAGAAGAATGACTGAAGCTGATCTGCAGAATTGTATAAATTTCGATTTTCTTTTTTTCCTCTTTTAATAATTTGATGGAAAAGGTTGAAACAACTCTAGTAGCTGAGCTTACAATATTTACTTTTTGAAAGAAAGGTTTTACTGCAAGAAAAAAAAAAAACTAAAATGCATGATACACATGGATTTTGTTTAAATACCGGTACACCTCTTATTAAATTATGATATGAATCTAAGCATACATAATGCCTTGCTTGCTCTTGAAAGGGCTACATTGTGGAATAAACATTTGCTAAAAGCTCAAGCTACATGGATATAAATGCTAAGGATATACTTTATTTCAGTTTCAATACTGGAATGGTCAAACATTTTGTGGTTAACTAGGAATATATGATTTGGTTTCAATTCAATACAGGATTTCATTTACTTATTTGTTGACTATAGTGCAAATGTAAAAACTGACATTAAACAAATCTTTTAAAAATAGAAGTTATAGTCTTTTATTTTTTGTTTTTATTCAAATCGTACAATTTTATCTGAATCAAACATGAGAAGGAGATGTGAATATTAATTATTGTTAATTCTTGTATTAATTATATCAGTATGTGGGTAACAGTATTTAATTTTACATTTTCAAATCTAAACATTGATCACACACTTAACAGCACAATTAGATTTTTCATTAACATCAATCTTATACAGGCCAGGGCATCAAACACGGGGAAAATAAAATCTAATTGCATAACCCGGCCGCTCATCTTGCCTTTTTTTTTCCTCCTTCAAATTTATTATTCTCCTTCGCATTTTCATAACTGCTTTGATCTCTTACAGCGAGTACAATATCACAACATAGATCAACTTTTCACTCATAGTAGACAGTGTTCTTCTGTGTTTTGTAGTCCTGTATAATGTTATTTCACTCTGTTATGTTGTGATAATGCGCGATTCCTGTAGCACCCCTTGAAGCCAAAAGAATTGAACCAGCCACAATTTCCATTCCCCAGCCTGATACATCTTGAATGTTTGGCCTCACAATGGTTATCTCCGTAGCCAATCCTTGCAACATCCCACATGCATGATGTGGGACTACGCTGCTTGCAGCTCCCACTGAAACACAGGTTGATCTGAGTTGGAAAGAGAAGGAGATGAGACGGGATTAAATATTGTTTGAAAAGTTAGCTCTAAATCAAAGGATGAAAGATCAATTTGATTGATCACTATAGGCCTGTTATCAGTGATAGTACTAGAGAGTTCAAGAACAGAAATGATAATACTTGATAATACTTAATTAATGTAATTTGTCATCTTTTCTACCCTTACCTCATCCAAGTAGTTGTTGTTATCTCTGTATCTTTCCTGTACTCTAATACATCAATCTATCTTTTTGTTTATTCTATTCATCCCTTTACTCCCTTTTTACTTGACCATGCCCAACAATGGTCTGTAGGTATACCCCAATCCCCTTTTAGCCAATGCGACACCCTTCTCCCAAATCCACCTTACCACACCCATTATCCTTAAAGGAAGTTGAGATATACCATTCCTTCTTTAGCTCATTTATATCTTACCTCGCCCTCCTACCCAGCCCATCTAGCTACACCCATTTCTATGTTCTTACCTCACATGTGTTGCAGTATTGCCTGTAGAGGTACCTTACTCCCTGTTTCTGCATTTTGGTGAGATCTGAGTACTCGATCACCCAATCACATGTTCCAATGTTATACAATCCTGTTTCGTCATGGTTACCTGAGTGGAATTGAGATAAACAAGAAACATTTTAACCAATTATTGGTGTTCATTTCACTGTGGGTGTTCAGAAATACATGTATGACTTATGCTTATGCTTTTATCCTGTCATATTTTTTTCAAAATGAGAAATCAAAATGGTGTTGTGGTCCAGTGGATATATTACTAGATGGTTAGTAGAGGTTATACAGGTGTTGTTTTCGAGTGGTTCAAGCACTTGACTTGAAATGCAAAGGTTGTGGGTTTGATCCCGACATTGCATTGTTTTCCTTTAGCAAGGCATTAATCTACATTTGCCACTCCATACCCAGGAGAGGAATGGGGACTTGATAGGATGACGAACACCTTTGTGTAAGCAATTGCAATGTGCCTTTACGGTGATGGTAGGCATACTCCCCAGGGAGTGGAGATGGTGCACATTGTGCATGAATGAATCTGATGACTGGGGAATTAATATCTGTGAAGCACTTAGAGATGTTTTTTTTTATTTATCGCTATGTATATCCAGATTATCATTATTATTATTAGTAGTAGTAGTAGTAGTAGTAGTGCGGCAGCTGTAGTGTGCTTTGACAAGTCATTAATATACATTTATCACTCTTCACCCATGGGCAGCCTAAGCCATGGTAGTGGTTCTTTTTATGTTCCTTGAGCATCTCCTTGTAGTTATATAACTGTAGCTACATCCTACATGACATTAGGATGCGCTTTTCAGGTTCAGTTGCAAACATAAGCCATGGAACAATGGATGATAGAATCGAGCCATGTATGTGCATGGATGTTACCCCTAATTTTTTATTCTCTCATTTGTTAATACTTTGATCAGTCCTTGCGTTGGAATTGTCAGGACGATTCAGAATCAATCCATCTAAAAATAAAACAATACAACAGGATTTGAGTGTCAACTGTAGTGAACAGCTGACACATAATGCATTCATTTCCTGCTTAAAATTCATCCTACCCCAAATTTTGAGGAGGTGTGTTTTCATGACCATATCATATTAGGGGGCAAATGTTTTTGTTTTTAGTAAAAAAAATGTGAAAAAAAGTGGTCTTTGCTTTGCAGTGTGTATGATCCCTATATTTGTCTCTTTATTCAATTTCCCTTAGACCTCACTCCTAACATCGTAAACCAAATAAAGAAAAGATACTGCAGCAAAAGAATGATTTTGTGTGTGCATAACAGAGGAGGGGAGGCCAAAAGTCTTTGTTTTAAGATGTGGAAATGTGAAGCCCACAATGATTGCTTCATTTTAATTTGCAGTAGTATTTTTATTATGTGTGTAAATAAGACTCTATGTTGAAAGGTAATTATTAATCATTTAAAGTCTTTGGATTAAGTTACCTCTAATCATGCACAGTAATATAGCTGGAAAGCTCTGTAGGGATTCATTTTTGTCAGTGGGAACTTATCATCACCCTTCCAAACTGAATTGGCATGATTTGTTACACATTCTAACATGATGTGTAAGATATGAGATCACAGAGGCTCTGAGGTGATAATTGAGCAGAAAATGTGTGACAGTCTCATCAAGTTATTTCTGTCTTTTGTAGAAGGCACCATGCAGTGTCCAATTATATGGTGAGATAAATAGCCATAACCTTTTGTGCTGTCGCATTTTTTTCCAACTACATTATAAAGCATTAAATTGGCAACACAGAATATTGACATATTCTCCGCTGCAAGTTAGAAGACTAGTTTTGAATGTAATAAAACTTGAGTGTAAAATTAATTAAATATTTTCAGTTGCTAGGGAGAAAACTAGCTTTGAAGTGAATACAAAAAACTCTTGTGGTGGACTCCAAGTAAATTTATTTTCTTCAATGAAATTCAGTTCTCTAGAAAAACATAGGTTTTCAAAAATTGTTGAGACTCTCAATTTTTATTTGGAGCACTGAGGCACTGTTTCAAAGGTCAGGGCTTTGTGTTTTGAACAGGGCGACTCTGAGAAAGGTGTTGATGACATCATGATGAAACCTACCTGTAAAAATGTAGACGTGGCCTTTCCTTAGCCTTTTCAAGGCACATTCCTTGTCTCTCCTCATCATCATCACCTCAACGTGTCGCTGAAGACCCATCACGCCCTCCCCCTTGTAGATTCTCTCCACCTTCACCACGTAAGCTGTCGTGCCCTCGTCGATGTCCACTGGCGCGACGTCCATCGTCGTCCTTCCGTTATCTCGGTCGGAGTGTGCAACCTTGCCAATGATTCTACCGCGGACCACTGAATAGAATAGGATGAAGAAAACAAAGGAAAAAATGACAGATTTTCAGGGAATTTATTGACAATAATGGTAATGATTTTTAAAACAGAAAGTCATCAAACTTGAAGCCCAATTTTGACTTTCATGATCTTTGATTGGTTTAAATTGTTATTATAATATATATTTTACATGCCATGTGATTATAATGTCATATTTGTCAGTATTTGTAATTATAACCCACTTTTACATTGTTTTAAAGATTTGTTAAAGATTTTAGAGGCTTTTACAAATGTCTTCATACATTTATTTCTTCTATCCTATATTTCAAAACAATAAGTACTGGTAACATGAAATAGTGAAGTGACAGAATTTAAAAGATTGTGATGTAATGAGTTTTCCACAGGAATGATTTTGTAAACATGACAATCAAACAAATGAGAAGGCTCTCCATTGTGAAAAGTGGAGGGTGGTGTTCCACCCCCCCCCCCCCTCTAATCCTCATTTAGTGTGGAACAGTCTGAACCTCTAGCATAAAAGGGAACAATTCAGACAATTCAGAAAGATTACTATTAAGAAAAAACCTCTGGCTTTTATTTAATATATTAATGAGTATATAAATAGACAAACAGATGATGTGTTGCCTCAACTACGTCATAACTTCCTCATACAAAATTCTGATATGTGGGTTCAAAGAGGGTTTGGGGGGCTAATTTGCCCTATTCCAGACCTTAAAGGTCACAAGTTGAAGGATGAGAGACATCAGGAAAGGGGTCCCATGTTCAAGGCAGAAAGGAGAGGGGGAGAGAGAGAGAGAGAGAGAGAGAGAGGGAGGGGGGGGGGAGGGGGAGGGAAAGAGAGAGAGAGAGAGAGATGGGGTAAGAGGTTGCAAAATTTTTTATTAAGATTAGAAATGATGTGCAATGGATTTTTAAATTTTCATCACTTGGATCTGTGAATGACTTCCTCAGGGTTGTAAAGTGACTAGATAGGAGATATTATATACCTTCTTCAGTCGACCTACTCGCACAAGAATTTTAATCCTTGAAAATAGTTGTTTGCAACAAGTGTTTTGTATTCATACCGCCCTAATAAAATTCTACTAACCATGTTTGTTATGCTTGCAAAACATTTGTATTTATATTAACCAGCATGTGAAACTTCTTGGCAGATCTAATTGATTAAATATAAGACCTACTGAAATTATTCACTTTGATAGCTATTTTTTAAGTATTCAATTTTTCTCGGTCAGACTTCCACCTTTCAGTAACATAAAATGCCAACCAGTATTTGTATCAAGGTATTATAAATAGTTCATGGTGCTAAACAGCTAACATGAAGTGATCATAAAATAGAGTGCACATGTTCATTTTCCTGCCTGAAACCATGACTGGTTAAATCCCTAAGAGACAGGATTTGATCTTGAATGTGAAGGGGATTATAATGGGGGCGATCATGTACCCCATTCAAGGGCTTAGTAATGCTGGATGCCTCTAGAGCCAAAAATACTTGCACTTTATCCCTCAAGATTAAGTGAGGAGATAAAGAAAATGTTAAAACACTTTGCTTCTTGATCCTGATACATTGAAAATCTTTAAATTCTTTCCTGCCCCTTTTTGTGGGGGATAGATAATCCAATCTCCCCCTTCCTCAATGATGTGCGTTAAAATCATCATATTTCATTATCTCTCTCAACCATATAACAGACGGTAACAAGAGACACTGCTTAAGAGATACAAACAAATTCAACTGGGAGATAAGATTTGTAGAAACATTTGTGATCAAGATCAGAACAATGGGGATAGAGAGGGAGAGATTGCATGGCAGGAAATACTAGAGACAGAACTAATTTAGTTTTTGTCAATTTACATAATTTGCCTAATTAATCTCTGTAGGTGCGTTTCCCTTGTGCCATGGATTGATGGAAGTTTATATAAATGCTAAATCTTGCAGGTCCTTATGTGGTTTTCTTATCCTTTACACAGATGGAGATGTAACATTTATTGTTTGTATGCGTAGTATACAATTTGTTCTCAAATGTGACTTTAATAGTTGTACATATTATGTTTCAAAAGTATGTTTATTGATCTGAAAGGAATTTAGATGATTATTGCTGGTACAAAACAAAACTTTAATGATAATGATAGTCACATTTGTACAGCGCGAAATATCATGTTTCCAATAGCTTTAATTTGTTTTTCAAATTGAGATTGATGTTAATTTTATTTCTGCAGTCATTGCATTCAATTCCTCTGTCTGTCTGTCTCTGTTTCTCTCTCTCTGTCCCCCTCTCTCTTTCTCTCTCTCTTTTTCTTTTTCTCTCTTTCTCTTTCTCTCTCCCTCTCCTTCCTCCCTCCCTCCCTCCCTCCCATGCCAGTTGGTCTCTCTCATTTCATCTTTTCTTTTCATTCTTTGTTCATCTTCTCCTATTGTTTCTACCTCATCTTCATCATGACATACACTTTTCAATCTCAAGATTGTGTTGAATGTGTAGTGATTGACACTTGCTAATATGTTATAAGTGATATGGCTTCATATTTTAACCATCTTTCTCCCTGATTAAACATGGAGATGCAAACATTTTAAATGTTCATCTAATCTAGTTGCTTATCACTGCAACTTGATATGTTTATTATTAAGTATCTGCAAAAATATTCTCTAAATGATGATAGCAAATTCCATTTATGTCTGATTGAACAGATACCATTGTAAAATGCATATTTAATGGGTGTGTTCTTCCACATGAGTAATAGTCGGCTGTATTTTATGATTTCAATGATCCAATATATAGACTTTAAATCCTGTGATAATGCCCGGTATTCATCATAATATATTAAAAGGCTCCTGACCTTCTACAAACAAAAACAATGGAAAATAAAAAATCTCTTTAATCTCTTGCATTCCATTTGTTCATCAATAGGATAATTGAGTGAATATGATCCATCAGAAACTTCTACCCAACTTCATATACCAGGCACCCTCCCTAGCTCCCTGCACCCATCCACCACTCTATCAGTACCCAAAACATGTTCCTCCTCCATTAGAGAGACATCCTGTTGTACCCATGGTGGACGTACCATCTGTCCTGGGCTCACAATTAGGTCTAATTTTAGAGTTCCTGTCCATGCTTAAGAGCACGCCAACCCACCCCTCACAGATAAAACAGAATACAAATAGAATTATTATAGCTTTGCATCTGTTATTATGAAATATAGATGATATAGATAGCTCAATGTCATCTCTAGTTCTTGGGATCATCTTGCCCAGAGCAAGTAAAATATACCAGATTGCAAAGATTTTTAGTTTTACTAGCCATTTTGGCAAGCATATACTTTTAAAGATGAATTTAGGCAAATTAATTTGTATTTGTGCAAATTCTGCACAGATTCTGTTGTCTCTACTCTGTAGTCACAAACAACTTTGAAATGGTATTTAAAAAGGACTTTCATCATTGGAAGTAAACCGAATTTGTAATAGTAGAGAAAAGTCTATCCACATGAATGATTTTTGGTTAAATTTAGTTAGACCGGAACCTACTGCATTTACTATCCCAATGATTAATTTTCTTAATTTCTACTTATTTAAATCAATCTTGTTAGTAGAATTCTCTGGGATTTGTTTAGGCTCATCACATTCCCCAATACATAAATGTGAATCTTTCATTTAATCATGTATTGTATTCATTCTCACTTGGCAATGCTATGGAGCATCTTGCCAAAAAATCATTTTTAAAATATTTTGTTTTCCTTGCTTTTTCTTTTGGCCCAGGTTTGCTCAGGCACAAATGCAAGGGCAAGTTGTCTCATTTTGTGCACCTTTTTTGCAGCCAAGTACCTGTCGAAAAATAACCTCTTCAAAAACAACAGTGCATGGAATGACTAATCCATTCTTTGGGCAACTGACATTAGGAATCAAATCGTATCAGTAACGAGAGAAAAATAAAAAGGGGGCTGGGGTAATGGGATGAGTCATGGAGGGGTACCTCCAGGGGTTCACTTCCGGTAGTACATGCACCCCTCTCCTGACTGCCTCGCTTGCTCCTAGACTGTTTAATCTTGTCTATATCTCAGAGGTTTTTTGCGTCGGCGGAGAGCGGTTTATTTCAAGTGGATGATTAAGTTTGTTTGGGTTGAGTATGATGTTGCATTGGCCTGTGTAACATATGCAAACATAACATGAAAGCAAATATCCCAACCAGCAAAGTAACATCATGCACTTTTTGCTTTGGTAATATATTTTCCCCCGATATTATGACACAAATTATTTATACCATATGATTTCATTTAAATTATATCTAGAGGTCTATTAAGAATGGAAAATAATTAGGCATAGATCAAAAGGCATGACTAGAAGATTTTCAATAGCGGCATTGCACCAAAAGAAATTCCCTAGAGGGATTTTGTTTATATAATGATATTATAGTATGGTTCAAAAGAAACATAAATTTAAAACAGAAGGATATATTATCATTAGCCCAACACTTTAGCCAGCATATTATTTATCTAAAAAGTGCATTGGCTTGCAGAGGGAGATTTAATCCAACGTTGTCAAAGCTAATAGGGGGAAATGCAGACTACATACGGATGTTTTGCACACAACTTCAGAATACTTGGGTAGGGGCCAATAGAATGCATCGTAGCCCTGTACTCCTATTGTAAATAGATGATGGGCCAGACGAACACATGTCACAACAACAACCTGTCATTCAAGTCTTGTTTTACATAAATATAATAATATATATATGCTTTTTTTTTCTTTCTTTTTCTTTGGCATAAAGAAATAATATTCTTCTTGCCCTTGATTTTTTGAAGTTTTGGAAAAGTTCCAGCCCCCCCCCCCCCAAAAAAAGATATATGAATAAATAAATTAACTCATTTAATCATTTATTGTACTACTTCTAGATATTGTGTTATATGGCAAGAGATGGTATTGTAAGTTAAGCAAATAATGCAACCCATTGTATGAAATTAACCTGTGTATACATTTTAGCAGATGGTAGATAAAATACAATTTGAGTGAAAGC